TCTTCGGGACGCTTGGGCATTATGCGTGCTGACAAGCTCCGCGCAGCCACACTGTGCGGTCCCCACACAAATTTTGCGTTGAGGATTGCAGTGGATGGCAAAATCTCAATTCAAAAGATCCAGGAACGAGAGCCAGGGCTTCACGACGCTATCGTGAATGGTTTGCCGTGGCGCGTGATCACCAAAGCAGTTGCCCTGCGTTTCCCTCAATTGCCACCTTTGATCCAGCAGTGCGGCGCCGCCAGCGTGGACAAAGGCGAAGGCGAGCTGCAAATCCTCAGAAGGCTACACAGCCTTGTCACCCAAGAGAAAAAAGATGGCCTGACGCCTGACTACCAGCGCATCAAGAAGAGAGCGCTTGCAAGCCGGTGCGAGATCAGCTCCCCATTTGTACCAGTTCACGCTGAAGTTTGCAGGTGGCAACGACGGCAGTTTCTTGGTGGAAACGGAGCAGTTTTGCCGAGCTCATGGCTCTTCCACAAAAAGCCTGGGCCCTGCCTTGTGGGAAGTCTTGGCTGCCGATGGCCGAACAGACCAACATGTCTGGGTCTGTCACGCTTTCATCAAATTGGCATGGGTGAAAGACATTGGCACGGTCTCAGACATCAAAAGATGCCTGCACTCCAAAGAGTTTGCAAAGAGGCTGGAGATAGTCAACCGCATCATGTCAGAGACAAACGGCCTCGTAGACCATCTTGGCCTGCCCTGGGCCGTGGATGGCAAGGTCGCTGCTGCGCTTGGGTTCACCCACATGCTATGGCGCCTTTTGTGTTGAATGCCAAGATTCCTGGCGAGTCCCCTCATGACTCATTGGAGGGCATTGCGCACGATTTTGTGCCGTGGAATGTATGTATGTTGGTCAAACTTGTCATGTTGACATGTACGTTGGTCAAACTTATCAGGATGCAACAGGGTCCTGTCATGTCCTGCTCTTTGCTCGATGTTTTCAATATATATATATATAGCTTTGCGCGCGCACAGCGGTGTCTAGCGCGCCCCAAGCGTGCCATTGCGGTACTGATCATCAAGGGCATTACCCAGAAGGAATTTGCATCCCCCTGGGAAGCTTTTGCGCAGAAACGCGGCGCCGATTCATCACGCCCATCTGCCGGAGGTGACCGGCTCAGAGAACTTGACCAAGATGGCGCAGTCAAAAGCCCACAGGATTGCATGGCAGATGCTGGTTTTCCTGTAGGGTCATTTGTCAAACGCAAAGCCACCCAAAAGCCTGGACAGGTCTCCGGAGTGACTCAAGACTTGGTTCGTGTGAAGCAGACCGATGGGAGTATGTTCAAGGTTTCTATCGATCAAGGCTTTCCTGTCAGGAGAGTACTCCAAAAGCAGAGCCTACGGTGGTAGATGACTTGTCACTGTTCAAGCCTAGTGACTTCCCAGAGTGGAAGGTCATGAACGAGAAGGCCCGGATCGTGCTGGAGTTGGAACATCTGCGTATGAAGCATGAAGCCGACGCATGTGATTCTTTGAGGGTTGTCGTGAAGCCAAACCGAGCGTGCTTTGTAACCAAGCCCTTGAAGAAACTGACTCTGGTACCAGCGACCATGAACATCAAGTATGACACAGAGCCTTCACCTGACCGCTACGTGATCCATGCAAAGGGTATGGCTTTTACATTCAACCCCACGGTGATCTTCCCAAAAGAAGATGGCGAATCCGGCTTTGTCACACCGTTTTGGTTTGTGGAGACAACGTCCAGAGTTGAAGAAGCTACCATGCAGGTGACTACGGTGAAGGTTGGAAACCCCAAGATCCAAATCCCCATTCTGACGAATGTTGGCCAACTCAACAAGGGTGACTGCCTGGCCATCTACAAGAAGAAGGTGACGAAGGAAGCAGAGCCTCTCGAGGTTTCTCCGGCGAAAAAGCGTCGAAGAGAGAAAGGCCCTGAGTGAAATAGGTTCCAGCATGTTTGAAACAGCTTTTCGAGCTGGCACTTTTGAGCTGGCATGCCTGATCGCACCCATGAAAGAATTGCCATGACACCTGATTGGGCATGTTATGTGACTTATGTGCTTTTCATTGGTTTGCAATGAGCGAGCTCGCATGCACGTTTTGAAGCAGCAGTGCAGGGTCACCATGTATGCATGCATGGACGCTTGAAACAGTTGTGGCAACATTTAGAACAACGTCATGCGCTGTACATGTTTTCGGCTGTCATTGGCGTTGAGCAAGCTCGCGCACGTGTTCTTGAGTGTGGCAGTGTGCAGGGTCTTCACGCCTTTGTCTCAGTGGATCAAGCTTCTGTGTGATTTTGTTGGCGCTGCCACCATGTCCATGGAGCTGGTCCGCCAGTACAAGATTGTGTCAGAAGGTGCTACATGGACTCCGACACAGAAGGAAGAGAATGGAAAGACTTGCTTTGCCTTCGCAAAGTGGGACCGTGGATTTGTCCACTGGGTCACGGGCAAATCTTTAGACCTCCGCAAGGAGAAAGACGGTGGGACTGTGAACACCAAGTTCTACAAGGACCTGCTTGAAGCTCGGCAAAAGGCTTGCAACGCAGCTCTGGCGCAGGCTATCTCAGACGAGGATGAACCCAGTGCCAAGGGAAGAAAGTTGAGAGCGAGGACAAAGGAGCGCGGGCCACTGGCGCCTCACAGCATTCGCATCGAGACGCCCGCGTACGGAGAGGTCGAGGCGCTTCAGGCAATGGCTTTGTTCGAAGGGGTTGGGACGCAGCAGATGTGGCCGAGGTGACCGAGTAATGCAGTTGTGCGATTGTTTTTGGAGGTTTGATCACTTTGCTGGCTTGTTGCTCTGTTGGAAGGTGTTTGTGAGCGCCCATGTAAACCTTTCTATATCAGGAGAACGAGGCCGGTGGAGCTTCCAGCGCATCCAGACCTGATGCCGCATCCGTGGAGGCTTGAATTTGACAGACAAACCTTTGAATCCATCTCAGTTGATGTTGGCATCTGATATTGCAAATTGCAATTGGCGTTGGTAGCCACCACCATGAAAGGCCAAGAGATCCTAAATTGCATTTTTGTGACGTATCCTCACATGTCTCTTGAATCCAGGAGCTTGGAAGTGCAGCCAAAGCTCACAAGCACAAGGCTTGTCTCGTGAAACTGTTCACACATGCGTCGTCATGAAACTCGCAAAGTTTCCTCTCAGCATGTTTGATGTTTGATGAAATGGGTCTTTAATGTTGAAGATAAATCCTAGTGTTGGAGGCTCCGTGGTGTGCTACAACAATGTGGAAAGTTGTCAGTTAGATTAGTTGAGTGTGTTGGTTCTGAAACCGATCTGTGCGTTCCAGGCCACGCCCAAAGCTAGCGCACCCTCGAAGACTTTGCCGTCCCCACCTCCCGCACCCAAGCGGACGCCTCTGCCTCCGCCGCCGCCGCCACCACCCAGCGCGGTGCCCGCTCCTCAAACACTGCCCAAACGCCCTGTCTTCCTCCACCCGCTCCACCGGCGCCTCCTCAAGACCCAGAGCAGACCTTCCCACCCTTGCCTTCACCAGTTCCACCAGCTCTGCAGGTTCCGAAGGCGTGTTGGTTGTTGGGTTTGACATGCGCTTGATGACCTTTGGACTCAAAAGCATGTCCTGTCCAACTGTGTTGCGCATGCAGGGAGGTTCCCGCATGCAGAATCTCATGACTTACATGTCAGGCATTGCAGCCGTGGGCGGCGGCTTTGGTGCGCGACCCGGCCGAGAGAGGCTGGTACCTGGGGCAGCGCTTCTTCGACAGCGATGGATATCTGATGCCGTGACTTGGTTTTAGAGCTGGGTGAATTTCTTAGATTTTGACAAGTGGCCTGGAGACCCTTTTTTGATAGAGAAAACAGGTCACCAGGACACTTGTTAAAAGTGAACCTAAAGTGGAAAATTACCAGTCTGGAAAGTTATGAACTTAGTTGCATGGCTTTTTAGTTGTGATCACTGAAACACATTTCATCCAAGGGTTGGAGCTGGCCGCACAAAGCCCCGTTCCAGGGGAGCTGGATGGCAGGGTCGCGCATGGTCCGCCGTGGCTTGCTTGCATGGGATGGGCCCACGAAATCTGCGCATGGAGGTTCACAAAGTAATGCGCCTGCCACGAAATCTGCACATCGAGGTTCACAAAGTGCTGTGCCTGCCACGAACTCTGCACATGGAGGTTCACAAAGTGCTGTGCCTGCCACGAAATCTGCACATCAAGGTTCACAAAGTGCTGTGCCTGCCACGAACTCTGCACATGGAGGTTCACAAAGTGCTGTGCCTGCCACGAAATCTGCGCATGGAGGTTCACAAAGTACTGTGCCTGCCACGAAATCTGCACATGGAGGTTCACAAAGTGCTGTGCTGCCACGAACTCTGCACATGGAGGTTCACAAAGTGCTGCGCCTGCCACGTAAACTGGAGCTAGAGCTCTTGAAACTAGAGCTACCTGGAGCTAGAGCTATTGAAACTAGAGCTACCTGGAGCTAGAGCTATTGAAACTAGAGCTACCTTGAGCTAGAGCTCTTGCAACTAGAGCTAACTGGAGCTAGAGCTCTTGAAACTAGAGCTAACTGGATGATGAGTGGTGTATGTTGAGTGGTGTATGATGAGTGGTGTATGATGAGTGGTGTATGAGCAGTGGTGTATGATGAGTGGTGTATGATGAGTGGTGTATGATCAGTGGTGTATGATCAGTGGTGTATGATGAGTGGTGTATGAAGAGTGGTGTATGGTCAGTGGTGTATGATGAGTGGTGTATGATGAGCGGTGTATGATGAGCGGTGTATGATGAGTGGTGTATGATGAGTGGTGTATGATGAGTGGTGTATTGATGAGTGGTGTATGTTGAGTGGTGTATGATGAGTGGTGTATGATGAGTGGTGTATGATGAGTGGTGTATGATGAGTGATGTATTGATGAGTGGCGTATGATGAGTAGTGTATTGATGAGTGGTGTATGAACAGTTCTTGAATGTCCGTAACACGGAAGTTTCGTACACTAAACTTCCTTTGATTAGGTTCCTTTTGCTATTCGGACGCCATGTGAGTCTCCCGACCGCTATTGGCTTCCCCTGGAGGGCCGCCGCACGGTTTTGGGCCTGAGCTAGCTGGGTGTGGTGAACGTCAGCTGGATAGAATTCCTGGCTTCTCCGAAACAAAGGAATCGTATTTGGTTTCTGATGCGGCCAGCATGTTGACATAATGTACACTCTAAATGGGTCATAGCTAGGTATGCTGCTTGGCTTTTGGCGCTGTTGGCGTGCGCTTTGCCTGCGCCGGTAGGTGCGAAAGTCGTGGCTCACCCGCGCAAGTTGAACAGAACCTCTATGGCCCAAGTAGCTTCTTGTTCCTAGTAGTAAGGCCAGGAGCCCCTAGTAGCGTCCTTGCTCCTAGTAGCGATGCCAGGAGCCCCTAGTAGCTTCTTGTTACTAGGGCCAGGAGCCCTGGCCCAAGTTCAACATCTATGTCTATGCAAAGCTCAGCTTGGTGACATGGGAAGAAGTATATGATCCACACCCTATCCATGCCCCCTGTCTGGTACACCCAAACCAGGCACCTCAGTGAATACATTCACGGTTCGCACGATTCCATCTCCAATAAGCAGGGTTTGAAATGGACACCAGCATGAATGTTCACAGCATAAGGATCTTCTCCACCGACCAAACGTTTGATTCCCAAGGATTCTTGGACAGCTGAGTGCCTGCGCCTCCTGCAATTCCGTCCACCGCTGTCGAGGATTGACGCCACCAGCGATGTCCTGTTTTTTGAAGCAAGGAGAGGCGGATGGGATCATCTGAAAGGGACAAGAAGCTATTAGAAACAAGTGCCACGCTAGTAGTAACAGGTGCCTTACTAGTAGTAACAAGAAGCTATTAGAAACAAGTGCTTGTTTCTAATAGCTTTTTGTTGCTACTAGTAAGGCATCTGTTACTACTAGCGTGGCACTTGTTACTAGTAGTAACAAAAAGCTATTAGGTACTTGGCGCCTTCAACGTCTTCAGACTCTCTTCCAAATCAGCTTCGTCTTCGCCTTCGTAAGCCCGTCTGTCCTCACTGATGGACTTCAAAGACTCTGTGAACGTCGAGAGGTTCCTGTGATCCATGGATCTTTTTTGTTTTAATTTGGTGGGGCGTAGGTAGGTAGGTAGTAGCTTAAGTAGCTACTACCTCGCACACAGGATAGCTCACGCTTCTTCAAGGAAGCTCCCCCCCGCCGCCCAAAAAGCGGCGGGGGGGAGCTTCCAAGAAGCGCTCCCACTATTCATTTGGTTCCTAGATTTTTAGGGAAACTTAAGGAATGGGGGCCGAGCAGTCAAGGTCAAGCGACTTGGAAGAGGTGCGTCTGCCAACAGCTTCAATACCAATATATTTTCCGGATTATTTTTCCATCCAAATTGTTGCTCTTTGTGGACCTTCAGTGGTGACCTTAAAAATAGAACGTGCGGTCTGACATGCTCCCTCCCTGCCTTTGTGCTGCCGTAGACAACAGGGCCGCACTTTGCTGAGCCTGACAGGCATTCTCATCTAGTAACTGTGAACGAGGGACACTAGAGTGAAACTCATGGTCTGACACGCAACCAATCAAATCAGCTGACCAATCTTATTGAAAATCATGAAAAACAACTTTTCTAGGTTGGAGGCCATCGCTGCTAGGTTGGGGGGGCCATCGCTAGTAGGTTGGAGGCCATCGCTTCTCGTTTGAAGGCCATCGCTCTTAGGTTGAAGGCCATCGCTTCTCGTTTGAAGGCCATCGCTCTTAGGTTGAAGGCCATCGCTAG